CCCCCAATAAAGCCCATAGTGAAAATAAATAAATAAATAAATAGGTGTTGCAGTTATATTGAAGGCAGAGCTTGCAGCACTGGCTGCAGAAAGCTAGTCTGTATTCATAATTCTGAAGCTTGCAGTGTCACGGATCCTTGTGCCACTGCGTTGTGAGCTCTCTGATGGAATGTGATGGAATAATTAGCAAACTAAATTTGAAATTAACAGATTTAATGTGCAATTATGCTAATCGTTTATACTCGATTGCGGGGTATGGCAGTCATGTACATATGTCACGTGCCAATCTGAATGGTTTATTGGAAACAAGTTTTGTTTGGACAAAAAAGTTTAAAAAAAAAAAAAGGTAACAGGGTGAGGGTGACAGGACTGGGGCAGGGGTTCATGTGACAGGGTAAGTGTGGCATTGTTAAGGGGTTAGTGCGACAAAATTGGAGGGATTAGCGTAAGTGTGGCTGGGTAAAGAGGGGGTGACTGTGTGTGGGGAGGCTGATCACTAAAACATAGCCTTCCCACACACAGTCACCCGATCTTCTTCCAGCCACACACTCACACTAGTCCCTCCAATTTTGTCGCACTAACCCCCCCAACAATGCCACACTTACCACTGAAATACTTTTAAGCACTCAATTCCCTGGTGGTCCAGGGGTCTACCTCCCTGGTAGTCCCATGGTCTTGCTATCCAGACTGCAGCTTTGCTGGGGTGCAGACAGAACATGTGGTAGAGGTCTCAACAAGCTCCTGTACTTGAAGTGTCAGAACGTTGCTGCGGTAACCCTAACAGGCGTAATTATTTATTTTCATGTTAAGAAACAACACAGATTGCAGACAAAAAATAAAATATAAAGAAAAGTTAAAGAAACACTATAGTGTCCATCTGCCCAGCGCCCCCAACCCCCCACTATAAAATTTTTCTTCTTTTTTTTAATGCTTTTTTCCACCTCTCCATTGTCATCGCTAGGGAGAGCTAAATGCTAAATCTTTTACATTTCAGGGTTAAGGGAACAGAGGCATTGCACCACTGAAATGAAGTGGGTGCCTAGTCCATAGGTGCCAACAGTCTTAAATTTGCTGGGACAGTCACACATTGTGAGGTACTGTCCCACCCTTTAAAAATGGGTCCTTGGGACATGTCCAACATTGAAATTTGCCCAGCAATTTAATCTATGGCCAGATTTCAAGCAGGATAAAGGGAACTCACCATTAGGTCCACGCAAATAACTCTTCATCAGGAGTTGAATTCATTTTTTCCCCCCACAGACTGTTGATGAGTAAAAAGCTTCAGGAAACACATTTTTTTATAATTCTGATGTAATACTTAAAATACCTTTGTAAAACCTTTTTGTTTTTTTAAACCAGTCCGAATAAAATTGATCTCTACACATTGAATAGGTTTTCAAGGTTTTTATGTGCAATTTATATAAACCTCTTTGTAGTCAAACGTAGGTGTTCTTTATGGCATCAAACGGCAAAATAGACATGCTGCCTGCAGCTTCCATAATCTAGTATTACCGTCTTTTAGCCTAGATGACAATCAGCATGTCTATACATAATGAGCAGGAACAGGGCATTATTCAGGTCAATGTCTCAAGCCCAAAACACTAAAATGAACAGCCAAGTTTAAACTTCACAGGATTGGGAATTTCCTTATACAAAAGACATCTGTGAATTTGATCCGAGCCCCACTCCAACAAAGAATGCAGCATTAGAAAGATTTCACAGGATTATGGATTGAAAGAGGATAATAACCCGCCTTTCCCCCCCTCCCCTAAATTCTTAAAGAAACAGTCTTGGAAGAAAATGTGTTTTCATAGTTGTGTTGCACATAGTAAAAGATGCTGTTCTACCCAGGTAACATCTGAATGCTTGCCCTCCACTAAACAACCATGATTGATGCTATAAAGGGCAGTGCTATCAGACATGCATTTACAGAACAAATGAACATTTCCAACTGCTTAACTGCCTCAATATATCTACACTCCTATATCTGGTATAATATCTGTAAAAAAAATTAAATAAAAAAAACCTATTGATGGTTCAAATACTTGAATTTTTATTATTTCTTCTATATATTTATCTGGATGTTACTGCTTCAGGATATAATGTAGTTTAATGTATTACCAGTCAACTACAATGTGTAAGAAAGTAAAATAGGAGACCGTTGTAGATAGAAATACTTGTGCACAATTCTTTACCTGGGACGGTTGACAAGGAGGTGTCTAGGGACAAGCCCCTTGATCAGCTCCAGTTTGAATAATTTTGGCATGCATTGCAATCTTTCAAACAGACTTGCTAAATGAACAAATGAAGAACTTAACTGTCCTGCAGCCAAAAAAATGAAAACTAGGCATGTGTTGATGAGAACTCCTCCACTCCCTCATGAAAACTATTTTTCGCCAAGATTTCTCTGCTCATTGTATGATTCACACAATTTAAGTCTCTGAAAGCCTATCAGTAGCAGAACTTATTTAGTTGTGTGACGCAAGCCGCAGTTAATACTAAGCTATAATTAAAAAATAATTTAAGGTATAATTTACTCAAGTTCTCTTTCCACAGAATACATAGGGAACTAGTAGTTATCAAAGAGCGATTTTTAAATGATGTGTTGTAATATTATACACAAACCATCCAATGTGATTAAAAAGTTGAACGCCTACAAATGTACACGTACACACGTTTTCTTACTAGATGTTATTGTACAGAAAGACAGATTCTTACAAGTTTATATTTAAAATTATATATGTATACTAGTACATCATCATTTAATGTATCTGCTTTCAAATTATATGCTAATCATGGTTCCCAACCTGGTGCGCAAGGCATGCAAACAGTTTTTAGGCATTTACAAATTCTGTTCCAAAGGAGTTACTGCCAGATTATAAATAATCCAGTTCCATCAAGAGACATTGCAACAACAATATCCAGACACTGATAACACTATTAATCAATGCTGATATTTTACAAATATTGTTTCTGGTTTACCTTGAACACTGATTGGATATCATGCTGTCCTGGCTGAAGTCTCGCAGAGCATGATAGAAATATACTAACACTCAAATAAAAGAATAGTGAGAATTAGCAGCTGCTTGCCAGCAAATTTGATCTAACCAAATTTTCAGGCAGACAGTTGCAAATAGTAGCTATCCTTACAAAAATGTTGATAGCCAACTGTATGGGAGAAAAGGACTACTACATTTTGGCAGTTGTGAATTGTTTAATTCCCTGCAATAGCTGAGCAACCCTAGTCTGGCCAACCCTTTCCCACGTGGAAATGTTTAACCATCTTCTGTTATGTATTTTGTGCATACTGCTTTAAAAACAGAGCTTTTGCATAAACAACTTTCTGAACTCCAAAGATCTTTGTGTTAACCCCTTAAGGACCGAGCCAAATGTACATGTTGTGATCAAAACAAAAGGTAAACAAAAACTTGAATTTGCGCTATATGTCTGTTCAGGCGTAATTCACCTCTTTCATATTATGTGTATCATATATCATTTTGTTTAGGGGAAACAGGGCTTTCATTTAACATCAAATATTTAGGTACGAAACATAATTTCATATGAATAAAATATTTTTTTTAAAATGGGAGAAAATAAGAATTTAAATTTTTTTTTTAGTTCTACGTGACATTCTAACTGTGAATGTCATAATACGGTTTGCTTTTACTGCAATAAAATACAAATATTTGTATTCAGCAATGTCTCCTGTGTAAAACAGTACCCCTATGTACAGGTTTTATGGTGTTTTGGGAAGTTGCAGGGTCAAATATATCATGTTAAATTTTTATATTTTTTTATATTGAAATTTGAAAGTTAGCTAACGAAAGTAAGCGTTTATATTTGTTTGTGTGTGAAAAATGCAAAAAACTAATTTAAATGCCAATTTTTGCCTCTGCAGTCTCACTGCTCAATTCTCTGCCATTTAGGAGTTAAATTATTATGCAGCCCTAGTCACAAGCCAGCGGAAAAACAACATGGTTTCATTTTTAATCAAATGTTTATTTGTATTTAGGAGTTTGCATCTCCTGGTCTATAAATTGAACTTTACATACAGTAGGCTCCTGCAGGGTCTAGAAAGCTATTATGGTAGCAATGCAGGAGATAAGAAATTCTAAATTAATGAACCTGTGCAATAAAGGAAGTTAAAAGATTAGACCACTTTTTACAGGAAGTATTTAGGAAGCTGTGAAGTCACTTGCAGGTCTTTCCAATAATTCAAAATTACTCCTGTTCTAAAATTAAAAACCTGTTCATTGCTCTTAAGCAGCACAGAACACTAGAGCCCCTTGTATCTAAATCTTTCTGTATGTTTGCTTTATTACATAGCATAGCACGTGGTGGTGGTGGGGTCTTACCCAGGATTTTGCCACAAGTGACTTGGTGCTAACAGTAATAAATTATAAAATCACGAAATGCTGCCCTGGTCTTCCTCCTACTTAGTCACAGATGTGCATATTCAGCACAGCTCCCAGTGCTGTGCTCTGTAGACATGTGATGACAAATGCATACTGTGAGCTGAGCAGAAGCACACATAAGTATGGTGGCCGTAGTGGATAAAGGAACAGAACAGAGTGGAAAAAAAAAAGATAGAAAATAATAGAAAATAACGAGAAACAAGAAAGAAGACTGACAAAAAAGAGATAGAAAGAGGTACATGGGAAATTGTATATACAGTGCTCAAAAAAATAAAGGGAACACTTAAACAACACAATGAAACGCCAAGTCAATCACACTTCTGTGAAATCAAACTGTCCAGGAAGCAACACTGAGTCACAATCAATTTCACATGCTGTTGTGCAAATGGGATAGACAACAGGTGGAAATTATAGGCAATTAGCAAGACACCACCAATAAAGGAGTGGTTCTGCAGGTGGTGCACCACCGACCACTTCTCAGTTCCTATGCTTCCTGGCTGATGTTTTGGTCACTTTTGAATGCAGGCGGTGCTTTCACTTTAGTGATAGCATGAGACGGAGTCTACAACCCACACAAGTGGCTCAGGTAGTGCAGCTCATTCAGGATAGCACCTCAATGCGAGCTGTGGCAAGAAGGTTTGCTGTGTCTGTCAGAGGAGTGTCCAGAGCATGGAGGCGCTACCAGGAGACAGGCCAGTACATCAGGAGACGTAGAGGAGGCCGTAGGAGGGCAACAACCCAGCAGCAGGACCGCTACCTCCGCCTTTGTGCAAGGAGGAACAGGAGGAGCACTGCCAGAGCCCTGCAAAATTACCTCTAGCAGGCCACAAATGTGCATGTGTCTGCTCAAATTGTCAGAAACAGACTCCATGAGGGTGATATGAGGGCCCGACGTCCACAGGTGGGGGTTGTGCTTACAGCCCAACACTGTGCAGGATGTTTGACATTTTGACACCAAGATTGGCAAATTCGCCACTGGCGCCCTGTGCTCTTCACAGATGAAAGCAGGTTCACACTGAGCACATGTGACAGACGTGACAGAGTCTGGAGATGCCGTGGAGAACGTTCTGCTGCCTGCAACATCCTCCAGCATAACCGGTTTGGCAGTGGGTCAGTAATGGTGTGGGATGGCATTTCTTTGGGGGGCCGCACAGCCCTCCATGTGCTCGCCAGAGGTAGCCTGACTGCCATTAGGTACCTAGATGAGATCCTCAGACCCCTTGTGAGACCATATGCTGGTGCGGTTGACCCTGGGTTCCTCCTAATGTAAGACAATGCTAGACCTCATGTGGCTGGAGTGTGTCAGCAGTTCCTGCAAGACGAAGGCATTGATGCTATGGACTGGCTTGCCAGTTCCCCAGACCTGTATCCAATTGAGCACATCTGGGACCTCATGTCTCGCTCCATCCACCAACGTCACGTTGCACCACAGACTGTCCAGGAGTTGGCAGGTGCTTTAGTCCAGGTCTGGGAGGAGATGTTTTAGGAGACCATCCGCCACCTCATCAGGAGCATGCACAGGCGTTGTAGGGAAGTCATACAGGCACGTGGATGCCACACACACTACTGAACCTCATTTTGACTTGTTTTAAAGACATCAAAGTTGGATCAACCTGTTGTGTGTTTTTCCACTTTAATTTTGAGTGTGACTCCAAATCCAGACCTCCATGGGTTTAAAAAAATTGATTTCCATTTTTTAAATTTTTGTGTGATTTTGTTGTCAGCACATTCAACTATGTAAAGAACATTTAATTCATTCAGATCTAGGATGTGTTATTTTTGCGTTCCCTTTATTTTTTTGAGTAGTGTATGTGACTTGGCAAGTGTTTGATATCTAGCAAAAAAGGGGAAGGGGACTAGTAGCATGATTAACTTGTAAAGGAAGGGGGGAACTAGGGGCAAAGAATGACAATTATGCTGCAGGGAAGGTAACCAGATGCTTATTTTATTAATTTAGAAATTTGCAAAAATGAATATAAGTGTGCGTATCTGTGTAACAGTGTACACACTATATACACATACACACATGCACACACAGCAGAGCTTGGGGTGGGATACTGGATTGAGCTCATCAAGAGCTGGGGTGGTGGTGTACTCGTAATTTGAAGGGGTTTATTCATTAAAGAAACACTATGAACACAAAGTTTTAGATTGTGGAGATGACTACACCAAGGGGTCTTCACTAGCTGTGTACAATACATCGGAGTGAGGTCAAATACAGACTGTTACAGCTGGAAAGCATGCTGCCATGATTACGTAACAAAGCCATAAGGAGTTTAAGCATTACACACAAACATATACACACATACTGACATACACACACACACAGACATACTGGCATACACACACAGACATACTGTGTGTGTAAATGTCTGTGTGTGTGTATGTCAGTATGTTTGTGTGTGTATGTGTATAGCAGTATGTCTGTGTATGTCAATATGCCTGTCTGTGTATGTGTGTGTTTCAGTATTTCTGTCAGTGTATGTGTATGTATGTATGTGTGTCTTTGTGTGTGTATCAGTATGTCTAAATGTGGGTCAATATGTTTGCCAGTATATATTTGTGTGTCAATGTATGTGTGTGTCAGTATGTATCTGCAAAGATGTCTGTCTGTGTGTGTGTGTGTGTGTATGTGTCAGTACGTCTGTCAGTGTGATTGGGGGTTGGGCATAATGGGGGAGGGGGAAGGAACAGGGCCCAGGGGGCCCAAGAAAATACTTTGCCCAGGGTCCTATTCATATTATAGACGGCCCTGAGTGAGTGTGTCTGTCAGTTAATGTCAGTGAGTGACATGAGGGGGCGGATCTTTCACCGGCCCTGTGCTCAATGCCAAGTATTAAGAGATTGAGAGTTGTAAGCACAGGTTGGGTAAGTTGATATGTGATCTTCATGGCCCTTCCTGCAACACAGGAGGAGGTACACTTTCCACATTCCATTCAACCATTCTGCGTACCTTCAGTTAATTTGGTAACTATATACGGTTAGCCTCAGAGAGCCCATATGTAATCTTTGACTGCACAAAGATAACACTAAAATAACGATATGTCAGACTGTATTGTGTGAAGTTTAGCTAGTAAATTAATATCAGGAAACAAGGCACGCTCTATTTGCTAGACTTCCTGGTTAATGAAAAGGGATGAGTCAGCTGTCTCTAGATCTGGCATATCAGCACAGTCTGTTCTGTGTGTGTTTCATTGCAAGATAAGAACTGTCAAAATATCTCTAAGGGAAAATAGTGCTAAATTGTGGTTTTAATAACAGTAGAAAACATCCAAAACCCTTCCTTGAAATGCACAGAAATTAGATTATACTACTCTTATTTAAAAAGGGGAAGGATCTACAGATAGATAGAAACTTGTATACCTGGGGACTTATACCCCACAGCATTTGCAGTCCACTCCAATACGGATCTTGACCTGGCCTCCTACCTCTCACCTATCATCTGCCAGACTCCTCTCTATGGTAAGTAAATTTGCAGTCCACATTTACACACAAGTCACTTAAAATCTCACATGCACAATAATGTGACTTTGAAGACTGTGTGAACATTACTTTTGTAATGATCATGATCCAACTAATTGATCAAAAAGGCAGCATACACTTTATTAGTAGGAGTTACAGCTTGGAGAAGGAAATGACCAGCACAGCTACCATTTACAAACTCTCTGTGGGGTCTATGTTGAACATGTGCCCCATGTTTTAACTCTCCAAAGAGGAGATAGAGAGAGAGTATTCTCTAGTATGTGCATCACAAAACAGACACCGATAACCCAGAACTAAGTGTTTTAGGCAGTCTTCTAAAAGTAGCAATTTCTTTACAAATTGTTGCCACAATAAGTACCATGCCTTTGCAGTAATGCAAACTTCTTACGTGCTTAAAGGGACATTATAGCCACAAGAACCACTACAGCTTAATGTAGTGGCTGTGTTATCTATAGCATGGCTCTGCAGCCTTAGCACTGTAAAGGCAGTGTTTACATTTTTGGCTAGTTACATCTCTAGTGGCAGTCAGATGGCCAGTAGAGGGGGGGAGGGATGGGGGGCAGGGACCTAACCCTGCATTTCAAAACTATAGTGTCAGGAATACAGGTTTTATACCTGACTACAGTGTTCCTTTAACCCCTTAAAGACCAAACTTCTGGAATAAAAGGGAATCATGACATGTCACATGTTAAACTAACTCTTTAAAGGAGCACTATATGGTCAGGAACACAAACGTGTATTCCTGTCCCTATATGGTTAAAACCACCATCTATCCACCATGGTCATCTCATTCCTCCCTAAACCTTTTGAACAGCAAGTGATATTTTCTACATATCAAGTTTAATTACTTTCATTCACACCATGGATGTGAAATATGCAACCTTTATAGTAGTATTTAGGAGATGCAACAGTTTGTAACTTCTTAAATATCGTGCACCCATATTGCTACAAGAATCAACATCACAATCTGCATGTCAATGAATTAGGACTTATCAGTAGTGCACACATTGAGCAAAGCTTGGCACAAAGAAAACAACTATATTTATACAAGTTCTTGCTTTTCAGACCTTGGATTGCTTATTCCTTCTGGTGTTTAAGTGGCTGTCAGGGCAATAGACTTAGAACTCACCAGACTGTATCAAAACAATAGCTGCCATAGCTACTTTTTGTACCACTCTTGGATACCAGGTATAAACAGACCAAGAGTTGCAAAGAACGCATTGATAGTAGGTCATAAAAAGTGAAAGCCATTTCAAAGTGAATGCGCAGACATGGCATGATATGATCTGAATGAAATACTGTTGTGTTTAAAAGTTACAGGAGTGGCCTTTAGATGAAGAGAAATTCACACAAGTTAATTATAAAGGTGCAGTGAGGAGTGTTCATGAACTAAAACTGTAATCCAACTGTACATCAGGATACAACAAAGATATACAATTCAATCTGACCAGCAATATGCCCTGCTGTGTTTGATAAATATTACACCTTCAATACTAATAATTTATTGCTTTTTAAAAAACATAATTGTAACATTGTCTTTTCTAAAATACTATTATTGTAAATTCTCTTCATGGGTCTTTGTAACAGTACTAATGTCAACCTGTAATTACACCCTCCAAGCTGACCTACACTGTTGTAAGGATTTGGGCAGCTGGGAGACCTTATTAAATATTGGTACAACCATAAATTATACAACTTGTCACATTGCAGTGTTTTGTTTTCTTTTTTGAGGGTGGGGGAAGGAGGATAGTGGGTGCGAACAGCAATGTTGTAAAGTGCATAATTGCTGTGCTGAAAATGGTCTCTGGATATGTATCATCAAAATGTTGGAAACCATGTATTCATTATATATAAAACAGGTTTTCATCTTTTGCAATTGACCCTTGTTCCGCCTCAGACGGGGTGAAACAAGATAATAAAATCACGTTAGTTATCAGTTACATGAATGCTCACCCCACAATAGACGTCATCATTAAATATCTGTGGAGGCAGAGGATTGCCTTGAGTGGGCCGCTTGTCCTTTGGAATGTTTTTGTACATCCACTGTCTCTGTTCCTCTAACATCGTAATATCCACTTCTTCAAACTCTATCTTGTTGGCTTCCAAAAACTGCAGCACATCCTGCTGACTTTTCTTTATCTGTAAAAGACATGGACATGTTGCGTTATTTGGAAGGTTTGCCAACCAAGAAGTCTTCTAATAAATTGGTTACCAATTAATGTAGGGCAAATTTGTCTTACAATGCAAGATACAGATTTGTAAAACAAGCTACAGTGATTATGGTGCCTGGAATAAGCATTTAATAACCAGTTCTAGATCGGGGTACATTGCGTTATACCATAACCCAAGAATGAGTAAGTTCCCATTACAATATTTAACAGTTTGCACCTTGGTGATCCAGTAATGCACTTCTGGTTTCTGCAGAGTTACAGAAACTGAAAGCGGTGGCAGTTTACATTCTTTGGCTGAGAGCGGTCAGTTGACACTCTCTGCAACCGACATTCTATGCAAGGAAAGATGCACAGAATTTACACTAGCCTGCACATTACTGAAGTAGTCAGGGTGCTTGGAGTAATCCTTTAACTATGTGTCCTTACAATATACAAATATGTGAAGTGTCCATGAATCGTGTGTGTGTGAGGTTTGAGTTTGTCTCTGAGGAAGACTAAATGTTATGTGTATGAGAGTGTGGTGGCAGAACATTGTGTGTGTGAAGGCAGCTGGGTGTTGTGTATATGGTGGGGAGTTTGAGTGGCTTTGTGTGGTGGTTATTTGCACTCCCTAATATTTAAATTTTTACACATATTATACCTGGTGCTCCAGTGCGGGACACTTTGGGCAGGATTCCTGGTGGGTCGGTGGGACGCCTTGTGGTCTGCACTACAGATTCAGATCACTTTACCTCTTATAGTGTGGGCGCTCAGTCAATGACTGAGTGTTCGCTGCAGCGCTCCACCATTGAAAAGTGTCAGGACCTCAAAGGAGCTCTTAAAGTGATCTGCATCCGATAGAGGTGCAGACCACAATGCTCCTTCAATGTGCACATGGTTCCCCCTCAAGTCAAAGCTTGACTTCATAGGAAGATAAATGAAAATATTTATTTTTCCTATTAATTTGCAATGTGTACCCAGGTAAATCTTTTAAAGGAAAACTCAAAGCACCATAACTGCTACAGGATGTTGTGATGGTTATTGTAGTTTGAGTGTTCCTTTTAACACAAACATTTTTAAAAGTAAACTGAGCCTCCCTGGAAAAAGGTGAACACAGGTTATAGATGACTTTCAGTGCTGTAAGTGACCACCTTTCGGCCAAGTGGGCTACATGGCTATCTGTGAGCTAAACTGTCTGTGCTTGTTTGCCTGTTTGGGGCAATGTATTACATACCATTGATTGTGTAGAACTGGTTGTGTATACCTGTATAATAATGGGTCCAAATCTACCCCTCAAGGCCCCCAATGGTGTAGATTATGGCACTATTACATGGCTGCAGCACTGACAGGGTTCCTGAAGCTATAGGGCCCATCGGGTGACCCTAAATGCTTGGGCCACCCGATGGACCCTATCAGCGTGTGGGTCCCAGTGGCAGTTCCGCTGTTACACATGGGGCCCGAGCTGCCGGGCCCGTGACAACAGTCATGGTTGTCACCCCCTGATGGCGGCCCTGCCACCAAGCCCCTGTCTGAGCATTTGCCCCAGGCTGTTGCCTAATGGGAAATCTGGTTGGTATGTGTAAGAAGTGTTGTGTTCTGAAATGGGTTCAAATATATAAAAGGGGTGGCGTTACCAATTAAATTAGCCTGCTGGTTTCTATGGCGATTGCACGCTTTTAGTACTTAAGACAACTTTTAAGAACACAACAGTCTTTATACGTAACTCAAGGTTTCTGTTTCTCCACCTCTACATACAATTCTAAATTCAGAAAAGTGCAGGGCTTATAACTATTAGTGACAGGAAACCAAGTTGGATGTGCTCAGTTACAAACTAAAGCTACATACAGCAGTGTGAGTAACTAGATTTAATTCTATTTTCAGACCTCAAAAACACATTTATTAACTATAGGGGATAAGCAAGCATTATTTATGGTTTCCCCATTACAGGGACACAACCCATTAGAAATGGCAAAGCTGGTTCACATATTTAAGCAGTGTTATAAAAAGGTTAATAAAGCAGTTTTAGAAATATCTAACAAACATCACTGAGCACACCTTGTTTTGTGAGGCACCAAAAAAAAAAAAAAAAAAATGATGAATCAACTTAAAACTAACCATGTGTTAAACATGGATTTAACCACATTACACTAGGATTTAATTCTGGACTCTGACACAAACGAAATGTCTCATTTGGTTTTACCTTGTTACTCATAGCTGACTAAATGGCTGCTATACATTTATTTTTAAACTATAACAATTTACATGCTGACAAATCTAAAAACAACTATGTCACCATGGCAGACTGTGCAAATACAACAGACATGAAAACACTAATTATGCAGTTTTACAACATTTACAGTCATCAAAATACACTAAAAGTATTTGCATAAAATACATACAGGAACAGAATTAAAAAGCTGCCTAAAACTAGGGGTCCCACACAAATATAATAATAAAATAATTTATTTCTGGCATTTATAAATCATTATGAAATACTAATTTTGATTTGTAATTTCAAAGAAATTCCAACCCAGTCAAGAGATATACAGAGATAAAGTAAAGACTACTTTGTTTCTGTATTTCTCCTCCACCTGACTTTGTTAGACTCAAATCGCAGTCTATGTTTCAATCACGACAGCCATTATCAGTGACTGCTACATGGGATTGGCTATCTGTAGGGGATCCCACGGTCTTGAAGAATCCTCCACAGACCTCAATTCTTTGCAACAGTGACGTCAGAGCAGATCGAAAAAGATGGCTGCACCCGCGAGGGACAAGTTCAGGTAAATAAATCTCACCCTAACCTGACCCCACACCGGGCACCAGACTCTCCAGACAATGATGCTTTAAAATCGGATAATTTTTCTCATATGTTGCTTTTTACACCACTGCCAATTCTGCGCCCCCCCAACAGATGTATGAATTTTCCAGCATAAAAGTGGCAGAATGTTTCAACCACTATAAATTTGACAATCTTCTAAAATTTATATTTCTGTAAAAACTGGCAAACTTACTATAAAGAAAACCGTCATATTTGTAGATCACTTTAATAAATATGAAGACAATAGAGCTTAACCACCACTTTTCAGAACACTTTGATAAATATGCCACCTGGTTTCAAGTCTCTTCTTCGCTGTATGTCTTTCTATGCTGACTGCCACGCGGAAAGGACGGAGTTTAGACTGACAGGGAGGTAAAATGATTGCGCCCAGGAGAAAATTTAAAATGTTATGGATTTCTAATTTAATGTTTCACATCACATAAATATTTGTTAAATATTGGAATAAGTAAGCATAAAATGTTAAATCCTGGGATTATGTTAATTCACCCTTTAAGATCTGGGGGGGGGGGGAAGAGAGAGGGGGGGAGGGTTCCCAGCCATGACTCTCTAAATCTGACTAAACTAGCCTTTGGGTAACCTTTAATATATATTAAACCCCTTCATTGATTAGAAGTGTCACCACCAATGTGTTAATCCACATACAGATCTTTCAATGTAGCAGTAAGCTATGGTCATGAGGGGTGCAGTATGCTTTAACTAAAGTATCACTCCAAGTACCATAACTACTACAGCTCGCTGTAATAGTTATAGTGCTGCTCCCCACCTCCAATACGAACTACAGAGAGTCTGAAGAACCTAAGCAGAAACTTCAGTTTAGTTCTCATGAGCTAAGCCCTGAACTTAAGGAACTATGGTGCTTGGAGAGTTGCTTTAATTTCACTGCAAGGAAGAATCCTTATTTTATTTCTTTTATTTATTCAACTATAGATTAAATAAAATTTCTCTTGAAATCACACAGGAAAAAATAAATAAAACAAAACCTTTTTATTCGCAAACGTGAACAGAGAATTGTATATGGAACCACTTTGTCAGGGGGCATTTTCCATCTGTTACAACTCACGGGGGGTTGACTGAAAGTATTGTTGATCTATTTGTTTATTTTAATTTCATGTATGCTGTTTTCAAAATAACTCTGTCTTTTCCATTCTCTGATAACTTGGCTGACGTTTGCTCATCAAGCTTTAGTGAGCGGGTTAGAATGGAATAATATCAGTTGCTATGTTCATCTAAACTGCCAGACGTGTTCTGTGTTGTCTAAAGAAAGCCATCCCATTTGTGCAAGTGAACTCTATAATTGTACCTTCAATATTGATTGCAGACTTTTTAAAAGGCCATTATGTTTTGTTATTTTTAAATTACCCATAAGCATTAGCATTGAATGTCTACATCACTCTTCTGTGTTGTAGCAGTTTGTACTTCTCTTTCTCTTTAAAAGAGATGAATACATCTCAGTTTTCCTGGAAAACATACTTATATATTTATTTTTTATGAGATAGTAAGCATATGTGCAATTTTTTTTTGAATCAGATGTCTCTAGGAGTAGTAAAGAGTGTGGGGGGGTGGTAGGGGGAAATAAATTTACTACATCTAACCACAAAACATTGTTAAGATTAAAGAATATATGTACGTGTGTTTGGTTTTACAACTCCAGTATACCATTATCTAACTGGAACATTTTTAACCAGTAAATCCCAAATAGTTTCTAATTAAAGGAAACTCATTTAAGATGGTGTTCTACCGGTTAGTTTTCCATTTATTCTATTTTCAATTTTTATGAGTTTATGTTCTACCAGTGACACACACATTGTTTGTAGATCTAAAGAAGCACGGTTTAAAATGTCTACTGAAACTTTTACACACAAGTGCTATAGATATAGATTGTATGGAAAATTTTCCTACAGTGTTTTGGTGTATAGAGCATACCTTTGCAGTCTCGCTATTCAATTTGGTGACTATAGTGTCCTTTTAAAGGGACACTATAGTCACCAGAACAACTACAGCTTTTTGCATTTGTTCTGGTGAATAGAATCATTCCATTCAGGCTTTTTGCAGTAAACACTGATTTTTCAGAGAAAAAGCAGTATTTACATTGCCCCTTAGGGGCACCTCCAGTGGCCCCTCCTCAGAGGGCCACTGAAGGTGCTTCATTAGTCAGTGTGTGCAGCACTGCTGTTCAACGTCTCTATAGAGATGCATTGATTTAATGCATCTCTATGAGGAGATGCTTGTAGGTCAAGCCGGTGTTTGGCCCTGTCTGGTCCCATCTCCTTGCCTATTTCAGCCAATCCAATGCTTTCCCTTTGGGAAAACATTGGATTGGCTGAAATCATAAATTCGGATGATGTCAGCAAGGAGGCAGATCGGAGACGAGGCCTGCACCTGCATAAATAAGGTACGCTTTATTACCCTTTTAAGGGGGCTAAGGAGTTGCAGAAATAAGGTATGTCTTTTTTTTTTTTTTACCTATTAAAGGGGCTGAGAGGGGAGCAAGCCACCTAAATGGTGGTTTTAACAATATAGGATCAGGAATACATGCTTGTGTCCTGACCCTATAGTGTTCCTTAAATTTACCAAATTTATTTAGCTTAAAACAGGATAATCGATTGTGGTAGCCACCTACTGATTTCCAACAAATACACCATGGACTTACATAAACATGGTTTCTCATAATCTCCTAATTAACTTCTGGTATAGTCTCCTTCACTGCTACACTAGACGAGTATATGACGGAATACAAAGTGTTATTTCCTTTTGCACTGTGACACAGAGAGCATATGCTCTAAAGAAAAATCAATATGTTTTTCTGTAAGGATGGGCAAGAGCCTTGATAATAGCATTGCACATAGCATCTGTCAGCTGAAGGAGCATATTGACATTATCAAAGAAGATTGCTGTCTTTAACCAAAATAATGCAAGTACAAACAGCACATGTTTATCTTTGTAAATGTGCTCTTTTCTAGGTTGCCAAAATCTACTCAAATGTGCAGAGGAAAAAAAATAAAAATAAAAAAGGAGTAGTAATCAATTAATATGGTTTTAAAATGACATATTTAAAAAATATATTTTAAATAGTTAATACATTGCTAAACACAAATACACGCACCAGTCAAGCCATAAGACTTGCCTTTCCCACAGAAATCTCACTTTAACAGTGCTCTCACTACTGCAAGGGATTCTGGGTAGGCATATGCAAATGAGCTCAGCAAAGAACCACATTTTTGCCTCATAAATATAAATGGATTCCCTGGAGTATGTGTCTGCTGTATACAACAGCTTTGAAACACAACTCAGGAAGAGGAGCAATGCCAGTGAAAAGATTTCAGCTGTGTGTGCTTTTACAGACTAAAAATTGAAAGACTTTTGCAGCTGACTTAACCCCTTAAAACCGGAGGGCGTACTATTACGCCCTATTCTAAGCGGCTCTAAACGCAGCAGGGCGTAATAGTACGCCCTTGCGGTTTTTCTTACTTACCTGGACACCGGCGATCCCACGTCGGCAATCGCGGTCGGGGGACTCACCAGGGATCCCAGGTAGTCCCCCGCGGCGGATCCTGCCTCCTCCGGCCCCCCCGGCCATGTGAGAGTGAGGCCTTGCGAGGACCAATCACATGGCCGGGTTAGCTGGCTGCTGCATTGCCAGCAGGGGGGACTGCCTGTAATGACAGTTAGTCCCCCTGCTGGCTGAATTCAAATAAACAGCAGTTAAAATCAGTTAAAAAAAAATTAAAATAAATTATATACTTAGAATATATATATACACACACATATACATACATACACACTGTCTAGGTGTATTTTACTATATATATATTAATATCAAATTACACGTAGACTGATACGGATTAAATATATATATATTATAAAAAACTATGTAAATACGTTAAATAAAAATAATTACAAAATATACAGATGTGTGTTATTTAGTTCTAACTGTATTGTGATATTAATATTTATATCAAAATACACGTAGAACGATATATATATATATATATATTTTCTTGTCCTGAGAGTGCACTTCAACAAGAACCTATATATACTTATGGTCGGAGTTTGCACCGAGGCATTAACAAGACCGGGAGCAGTGAGTGCTGGACACATGGAAAGTTATATATATATACATACACACACATTAATTCTAAATATATATTTATGTAATATTTTTACATAATTAGGTATTTTAATTAATTACAATTAGCGGGACCTGCCTGACAACCAATGCCGAAAGTATAGGGAATTTAATTTGATAGCACTATATTTAACCCTATAACTTTCCAAGACACCATAAAACCTGTACATGGGGGGTACTGTTTTATTCGGGAGACTTCGCTGAACACAAATATTAGTGTTTCAAAACAGTAAAATGTATTACAACGATGATATCGCCAGTAAAAGTGAAGTTTTTTGCATTTTTCACACACAAACAGCACTTACACAGATGATATTATTGCTGTGACACTTTTTACTGTTTTGAAACACTAATATTTGTGTTCAGCGAAGTCTCCTGAGTACAACAATACCCCTCATGTACAGGTTTTTTGGTGTTTTCAGCGTCAAATATAAGGCTTGTGTTTCATTTTTTTCACAATTAAAATTCGCCAGATTGGTTACATTGCCTTTGAGACCCTATGGTAGCCCAAGAATGAAAATTACCCCTATGATGGCATACCATTTGCAATAGTAGACAACCCAAGGTATTGCAAATGGGCTATGTCCAGTCTTTTTTAGTAGACACTTAGTCACAAACACTGGCCAAAATTGGCGTTTTTTGCATTTTTCACACACAAACAAATATTAACGCTAATTTTTCCCAGTGTTTGTGACCAAATGGCTACTAAAAAAGACTGGACATACCCCATTTGCAATACCTTGGGTTGTCTACTATTGCAAATGGTATGCCATTATGGGTGTAAATTTAATTCCTGGGCTACTATACAGTCTCAAAGGCAATGTAACCAATCTGGCGAATTTCAATTTCAAATGTAACACGCTATATTTGACCCTGTAACTTCCCAAAAAACCATAAAACCTGTACATAGGGGGTACTGTTTTACACGTGAGACTTTGCTGAATACAAATATGTGTATTTTATTGCAGTAAAAGCAAACAGTATTATGACATTGACAGTTAAAATGTCATGTAGAACTAAAAAAAAATCTTATTTTTTTCCTTTTTTTCATATTAAATTATGTTTCATAGCGAAATATTTGATATTAAATGAAAGCACTGTTTCCCCTTAATAAAATGATATATAATAAGTGTGGGTGCATTTAATATGAAAGCGGTGAATTACGGTTGGAGAGACATTTAGCGCAAATGCCATGTTTTGTTTACGTTTTGTTTACAACGTGTACATTTGGCTCAGTCTTTAAGGGGTTAAAGCACTGAGAGGATATTAAAAGTATGCCCTCACTGTTAGGACCTATGTGTTGGAGGTCAAAGGAGGGGGAATAGTGAGCAATAACAGAGTTATAAGAAGGAGCAGACTTCAGAGGAAGCTCCAAATTAGGTGAAATGTTACATCATTTGGTCTCCCAGTGTTAAACTGGAGAGTAATAATATTACTCATAATTTTTATAGAATTAGTTATATGTACTTAATATTTAACAGTTTAGCCTCTGAGAGTCATGTGAATAATAATAAAAAAATAAAATAAAAACCCACTTGTTACATATTCCAGATCAAAATCATAGCTTGCAACTTTCCTACTCAAAACTACAGCACAAACAAAAATATTTCAAATTCCTTAACATATAGCAAAATCAGTGTGTGTGTGTGTAGGAAAGATGCAGGCTATGATTTTGATCTGGAATATGTAACAAGTTTTTGTAATGTTTATTCTTCTTCTTATGACTGACAAGCTAAACCGTTAAATCTTGAATACATACAACTAATTATATATATTATAACTAATATTACTCTCCAGTTCAATACTGGCAATTCTCTCTCAAATAAATAAATATATAGTTTAGTTTTAAGGTATATAATTACCACAATTTTTTTTTTATAAAAAATTGTCTCTGAATAAATATGCATTTACTACATATTTGCAAATGTTTTCTACCCCCCACCCCCCAATTGGTTGCTTTCACTATTCCATTGTATCAAAAGTATATTCTAACTCCCACCAGCCTCAGCTAGAATCCTGAGCACAACAGGAGTTGAAGTTGACCAGGGGCAGGCAACGTTTTGGACTCAATTTGAGGGAACAAATTCCCAATAGTGGCTTGTTTTTTTCCACATTTGACCTCTGCATTTAGAAAAAAGACAGATGTCAAAAATCTGAAGCAATTTAGGTTTTCTTTATCCGAGTTACAGAGTTAAACTACAAAGCTGAACTACAACTCCCATGATTCCCAGCCTATTTCATTCATAGAATCACAGGAGTTGTAGTTCAGCAACATCTGGAGGGCCGGAGTTTGGGGAAGCCTGGCCTAGACTGTGGTTTTTATCACTATAGGGTCAGGAATACACAGTTGTATTCCTGATCATCAGAATTGATAATGTCAGCCAAGGAGGCCGGGGATGGAGAGTCTGGGGGGCTGAGCTAAACACAGTTCTGGCCAATCCGTATTCCCAGAGTGAAATATTTTGAGTATGAATTGTTTGGAATTAAAAATGAATCTAAAGTTTTAGGCAAAATATAGTCAGACTGGAAACATAAGTGACTTGGAGAGTGTTTCCAATTCAATTATGTTAGTCTACATATAGAAATTCAGTTTAATTCAACATTTTCTTTTATTTAAATTTGTTACATACACCCACAATATCCAAGTATGGCCATTTATGACTTACAAAGCAGTGAACCAACATACACCTTTATGTTGTACAATGGGCAGTGCATGGCAGTCGGGGATTAAACATTGTGCAACTTCAGACAAAACAATACAATCTGCAATAAAGACAGTAGAGCTGGCACTCCCACACAAAAGCCTGTTATCTAGAAAGTTTAGAGATATTTTCACATTGTTGTGTAATCTCCCCTCCCCCTTGTATTACATAATGCCAAACATATCCAATTCTAGAATAACTCCTGAAACAGTTACCCACAACAATGCCTAAACACATTCATATGTGGAATGTGTGCAATTAATAAGGATATACTTGCTCTTGATATACTCGTTTCTATTGTAAACATGTAGGCGGTATTCTGAAAACCAACTATTCTGGTTCTAACTGCCATTCAATAGAGGTTTCCCCCCCCCCCCCAAGTTTCCTTCTGCTTCATTAATAGAACCAAAGGTCACACAAGCACTAGGATGAAGAATATATTTTGCGGTATGTGCCATTTTATAGTCTGTTATGGAGGCTTACGCCGCTTGTCATGATCAATGAAAGACACCACCACACACCCCCTGTCTTCACATTATTACCACTACTTGTAATATATACCAAAACCAAGATCCCATTTATATACGGTCTACTAAGTTTAACAATCCCTGTTATTTTTCGCTAAACTTTTATTTTGCCTCAACAAAACATAAATCTACAATACAGAAGAATATGGAGATAGGCTGGTAAATTTACTATCCTCCACAATTTACCAAACTACCTGAAAATTAAGTTAGAGGAGATTTTGATCCAGAACCCATCCTAACTGGTCCAGCTGACCGCGAAAGTGCCTCAAAATAGTTGAAGAATTGCTCAGGAATTAATTCCTGCATAATTCCTAAACTAGCCACTCGAATTAACGCTGGTTGGCTTCACAATTAGCAAGGAAATAATTAGGAACTGGGCATTATGGCTCTTCTATTATTTCACACCCTACAGGGGCAGTGTGAGATAATATGGGGCTTAAAATAAGTTATATGGTACTTAAAAAAAATTTACAAAAATTAAAATATCTGCTCCAGATAATATATCTGAATTATATCTAAAGCCTTCATTTAGATTCAATTTTAAAAAATACATCACATTTAAATTTCATAATAGAAGGTAGCCCATACAGTCACTGAAAGCAAGTTTAAATTTAGTCAACTTTATTATACATCAATACTGATAAACACAACTGATATTTTCGCCTCTGATTATACAATTTCACTAAGCAGTTAGTTTTGCATTTCTAGTTTAACAAAACGTATAATAAAAAACAAAAACAGCAAAAAAAATAAATAAAACAACAATTCACATAGATTTTTTTATGCACATACAAAATGAATAGTAATGTCAGCAATAGTTTTGACATGTACATTATTCAACATCAGCTGACACAGTTATGTGTATACCATGGAGCCACGTAAGCCACCTGTCAGAGTGCATTCTCCAAATTATCCCATATCTTTCATTTAAAAAAAAAAAACACAATGAGGAAGTGATCACCAAACCCCATAGACAAGCCTCCATAGACCCTGCCCAAACGGAGTATGAATCATGACACTGCTTTGCTAATGACTTGATTCCCACCCTGGTGAGTGTAAGTCTTTAGGTGCAGTGAAGCATGTAAATTAGTGACTGGAACCCCTCAAATTGCAATATCCAAACATTCTCATTTTACTGGTACAGACATGTACAGCAAACTGTGCATCAACTCACTCATCTTATTATGTGCATCTACAACAGGTTAGGTTGTTACCTCCCAATTTAACAGAAATGAACTGGCAGCAATTTATGAAACAGTCTGAAGAATCCAATATCAGACATCAGGGCTACTGGGGGAAAATAATGATTTTAAAATTTTTTTTTTTTAAATCACTTATGTGTGAATACAGGGGATAAAATGCAGTTACTCACCGAGACAGAGCAGGATGAGGATGCTAAAAAGACCCTAATGACCATTCTCCCCCTCTGTGCCAACCCAGCAAGGACAGGAGATCCTGTGCTCCCTCTGCAGCAGGTGTGACAGGGGTCCTGATTATCCCCTGTCCAAGAATGCAGCCACTGGTGAGATCACTGCTGGAAGGGGAGATTCCTTGTGCACCGCCGGGATATTTCAAACACACAGACACTCCAGCGCTAGAACACACCGAAAAGCAAAGTGTACACACAGCTACCACCCTCAACTCCTCCCAGACACATACCCAGGGGAGGGGAGACCGCAGCAAAGGATTATGGGCATTGGAGTTTGCACTACATTGGCATTCTAGACAGGGTTTCAGTGGAAGGAACTGTTGTGTAATAAAGGAGTGCTCTACAATAGGATTTGTTATTGTGTTACAGGGTATAGTGCTTTCTGTATTTCTGTAAAATCGAAGAGCGTCATCATTGCTATTTGCAGGTAAGGCTTTATGGAATACGAACGCCACCTGGTGGATATCTATAGCTATTCGTTTCACATGGATGATCACATTAATCACTTATGTGTTTATCACTAAGGTATGCTGTTTTAGTTACACCGAAATCTTATCAAGTACTAAATACATAAATAAATAAATAAAAGCCTTCTTATACCATAAATAACAACTAGGATATTTAAAATGTACCACTAAATAGATTTATATATTAGTCCTTCTCATGTCTAGGATTTCAATATTTGTTTTAATTAATAGGGAGAGGTCCCCTAGAGGAAGGATTAAGACCCAAAACGTCTCCTGTTCTTTAGGACCGTATATCTTTTTTATGGGTGTATGAAATTAGCACTTTATTACTATTGTGGTATTGGTATTATTGATTGGGTATGCACTATTTTATGCACTTTTTTCTTTCAAAGTTACTTGATGTATTTTCTTCAATGCATGAATAAATGTTTATGTGCAAACCTTGGTGTGCCTTGGGTTCATTACTATATCTATTAGGTTGAATATTGCAGAGACTGAATTACTGTATTAAAGAGTAATATATGCAAAATGTTGTTTATGGGAACTATAAGTTTAACTTTTTTTTTGTAATGGCTGCTATCATGTTAGATTGGAAGTAAGCAAAGAGGCATGTCAGAATGAGCAAATCATGTCTATTATTTGACCCTACAATTATCATTTCAATAACCAATTATGACCTCAATTTACTATTGTTGGATAAACTTTTTAAATGATTTAATATTTTCAGCTAAACTTTTAGCATTTTAAAAAATAAATAAAAGGTAAAATATCAATATATATGTGTATATATATATGTATATAAGAATATTTAAAATTAAAATATTTTTCATATTATTAAATCATTTAAAAATGTTATCAATAATACTGAATCATTTGGAAATGTATCCAACAATATTATATTAATACACTTTCCAAATAATTCATAACTGTTGGAAAAAATTCGAAATGATTTCTCTACAACAATACCAATCGACTGCTGTAGATAAATCATTTGTAAACTTTTCGAACAATATTGAAATATCTGGAAAGCTTTTTAAATTTAGGCCTATGTTGGGAATGAGTATATTAAATGAATGATAATAGTCCAGAAAAATACATTTACCTGGAAGGATGGATTTTAATGGACCTTTTAAAAGTCTGAATACTAGGAGAAAGTCTGATGAGACATTTTAGACTGTTGATAAATAAATCATGTAGGTAATAATTAGCAGTTCAGGTGGCAAGAGATGGCAAAAGAAGGTCACTGATAGAGTGACTAACAAGGGTAGTAGCTGTGATGTATTAGTGGATACATATAATGAAGGGTAAAGTTAAGAGTTTTGTAGGTACAGTTCGTATCTTGATTAAAGCATTATGGGAAGCTAATGTAAAGATTGGCAAACGGGAGAGGTATGATGGGAGCAATAATAAGGAAAATAAATCTGGTAGTAGCATTAATTATGAACTGTAGAGGATCTTTATGAGCTCTAGAGATACTAGTTAAGAGAGAGAGAGACAGTTATTAATGTGGGAAAATACAAGGAGAAGATCATTGGTGACAACTGGACTTGATGGTAAAAGTGAGGTTAGATGCAAAGGTAATACGAAGACAGCGAGGCAGGATGGGCTGATAAGTGTTGGAGGAAGATTTACAGTAGAGCATTCATTTTATAAGAAGGGAGATACACACAGTATTGGAAAAGTGGAGTTTTAGAAATTGGAAAGACATCTAATTGGCGTCAGGAGAGAGGCAATTAGTGGCATGTTCTAGAGGTGTCATCTGCATTTAGATGGGACTGGAGTTCAAAGGAACTAATACATTCACCAAGAAAAACCTGTAGAAAATTATAACAGGTGGGGGGAATGAATGGAGACTCAGAAGAGGTCAAGGGGAAGAGATATCATCAGAGAGGAGATGATGGAGTACCAGGAGATGGAACATAAAAATCGAATGTCTGTGGTAGACAGTGTGAACCTCTGTATATTACTCCCACTTGGCTGCTCTCACCTGAATATTCAATATAAGTACTGTTAAACACAATTATTGATATGGAAACTCTGAACTGATTGCATCAAGTCTTTGAAAATTAGAATGGAACATTTGGAGAAGCTCAGACATAAATGGCGAGAGGGTTCATAAAAGATACATCTCGGCATGTATCAAAACGTAAGACTCTTCAAGTATAATACCTGCCAAGACTTTTAGAGTAACTGGAATCCAAAGAGAAGTATATTGTATACCCAATTTACTAAAGCATTACTTGTCATTCAGTATATTTTTTTATGTTGTTGTGCAATTTGCATTTTAATTATTTATAATTATGTAATAATTTGTGTGTGTTTGAAATCGGCGCATTGAAGACTTTTTTTTCTCTCATTGTTTGAAATCATTACATATTTTTAATCATTGTTCAAAAAAACCAATAGATTTTATTTTCTAAAGATTAGAAAATTCCTGAAATGTTGGTCTCTGTGTTTTTTGTAGGAACACTTCTGGAAGCTTTTTTGTTTGTTTTTTGAGTAATTTGAAGTTTACTGTTAAATATATGTATTTTCTTTCAGTCCATCTGTCTGCCTATCCATGCCATATTTCTTACATTTTATTAAAACATTATAATAAAAGTATAATTAAAATAATATAATAAATGCATTTATTTGCAGTACAACTTTGTTGAATATATTCAAATATGATTTTTGTTTTATTAACTGAGGTAAAAGACTACATCGTGACTGATAAAGTTTAGTCACTACCGGACTGAGGCAAATAGACACGATGGTTTCTGGTTCTTCTCTAATAACACAGCGTGAATAACAAAGTAATTTAGCTTGTACAGCAAAACATTATGAGACTTGCAGTTCAGATAACTTCTTTCATAAGTAAAAAGATAATGGAAACAGTTTCCAGAAACCCTTATCTGCTGTGTAGATATGTATGTTAGATGATCATTTCCTTGTCTGTTTACCCCAGGTCTTGTAAAATTTGGACATTTAAAGGGACACTCCGGGCACCAATAAATGATATGCAGAATGCTGCACCGTTAGTCTGCCTCCTTTAATGACAATGCAGTACCTTTAAATGTGAGGGATATATGTGTAATTTCTTATCAATATAAAGCCACCCCCAGAATGCTTACAAAAAACTAAATTCATTAAATACATTATGTCATATCTCCATCCCCTGTGAAGAATGATCTGGGAAAATAACAGGTCAGTGTTTTTAATTAATTTGGACTTGATTTTTAAACACAATTTAAAAATAAGTAATAGCATTGTGTTTTATATAGATAATGCACCATCAGTTACCAGAGGCTCATACCATGGCTTATCCCCTAAAGTGAGAATTCAAAGTGAATTTCAAACTTAAAGCAACACTGTCACCATTTGGGGACTTTGTAGAATTCTTAAAGACCCCTATAATCATTTATATCCCTCCTCCCTGCTTACCTTTGCCTGGGAGGGGGAACAGTACAAGACAATCCATGGTGGGCTGGTGGGAAAGCCCTGGTGGTCCTAGTGGCGAGAGTGAGCTCAGACAATACTTTTCTCTCCCAAGATTAAGAGCATTGCCACGTTAACCGTGGCAACGCTCCGAGCTCGCGAGTTGAGAACCCGGTGGAGCTGCAGGTTAGAGCTCCCTCAGGTCCTCTTTCTGTCCCTCCCCTGCGACATTACACTGCTAGCGGGCCAGAGAGGGAGATCTCTGATCTCCCCCCTGGTCCTGCATACCCGGCAGGGTAGAGGGAGGCACAGTTCCCGGTATCTTGCGGCGCCCATGTGTGCCTGTCACACAGTTTGGGAAACGCTGGACTATATGATAGTAAATAATACAGACAACAAAACACATCAATAATACATTCGCAAAGAAGCTGTTATATTGGTGTCTGGAAAATGATGCTGTTGTATAATACATTTTTAATGAAATGATATTACATGAAAGTTGTAGACATTTGAAATCATTTAAAATGTTGTTTTTTTGAAGCAACCTGATGGCAAAGCTAAAGCACAAAAATTATTAAGGTAGTTTAACAATAAATTGAAAATAAAATACAAATCTTCCCACTGAGCTATGGAAGTGGTGAATGTATGTGTTGCAATATATTCAATGAAAGAAATGGGTATTTATACAACCATACAATTCTCGCCTTAAAAACATGCTTTAAAACTTGTTAAACAGGTACATGGCAGACAGGTTTATAATGCTACAATGGTTTCCGGCAGCCAGTAAACTATCTGGACAGGTATTTTCAAAGTCCTCACACCTATACTCATATATATATCCGCAAGTAAAAATTGCATCATAGTATACCATACTATATTTTCATAGCCAGTAGAAAAATAATGGAATATCATGGCAATTACTGTTTAATTTATGATAAAATTTCCCATTAGATGTCACAGGTGGTGGCTCTGAGCCCATGCTCAGACAGTGATGTAGTGGGATCTAACTGTTGGGGGACCCTAATTAAACAATTCCTTGATGGTTGGTAGGTCTGGTTTTATAAAACATTAGAGGAAGTTTTTCAATAAACTAGAAACATAGTAACATAGAATGTGACGGCAGTAAGAACCATTCGGCCCATCTAGTCTTCCCAATTTTCTAGATACTTTCATTAGTCCCTGGCCTTATCTTATAGCTAGGATAGCCTTATGCCTATCCCACGCATGCTTAAACTCCTTTACTGTGTTAACCTCTACCACTTCAGCCGGAAGGCTATTCCATGCATCCACTACCCTATCAGTAAAGCAATAAACACTTTAGCAGCACCTTTTAAATGCAGATGCACCCCATTTCCTGATTAATTACATTTGTGGTGGTTCTTCCACTTGACTGCATGTATGTAGACTTTAAGTAGCAAAGTCAAGACCAAATAATTGTAAAACATTCTTTTCTTCCTTTAGCAATAAATCTCCTTGTCCGGCTCTGTGCCTCGTCGTCACCTGCTCAAGGGAGCTTTGTGGCCTGCACCGTTATCAGGTGCAGCTTACGTTAAGAGCATCCTCGTGTTCCCCAGTTTTGTCAATGACTTTGAGTGCAACAA